CAATATGTCAATAACAAACTCTGCTTCTTCTATCGACAAAACCTTGTTTAGTGTTATTATATATGTGTAGGGAATGACTTCCTAAAAGCAAATATGTTTTACTCATTCCATCCAAATAAATGTCAGTTAGTCAGCCACTTAGAATCCAGGTTGAAGTACTTGTAGGGACATTCAAACCCTGGACCTACTAGCTGAATGTCAAGTGCAAAAGTCAGCGACTATATCTACAAAGTAATTAGAGTATCACCCAAGAAGGTTGAGGTAATTGCTTCTTGAAATGAGGTTTCCCGCTGAAAAGAGTAGTTGCTAAGTCAGCTAACTAATCTTAATTTAGAAGTAGTGCATGTTTTTCCAAGTCAATGACTCGTTGATAATTTATGATATTTACATACAAAAACAGCAGATTAGTCAGAAGAGTCACTCTTTCCAGCGATTTGATTAACTTTGCTATAAACTTGCAATTATACTGTATTATCTGTTTGTCAAACATATTAAGAAAAAGGAATCATTTTAGAATGTCGCTCGCATCAAAATATTTCGGAATATTGAAGATTAATCAAAATATAACTAAGGATATGAGTGAGGTGACACAAGAGGTTGTGCAATATAAAATGTATTACCTAACGGATGAACAAGGCAAACAAGAGTATACTTAAGAGGGTAATGTCAGTAATCGTAATACCGAGAAATATCTTACACAATTAGCCGTAACACCAAAATTTTGGTGACAATAGAATGTAGAATTATATCTAAGGTAGAAGGAGTAGGTCGGCAAGTTTCCCCCGTTGATATGAATGACTAACGTTCAAAGAACATTGAAACATAATGCCTTGAGGGCGGGGGTTCTTTTGACTTTGCAGATGACTTTAAACAAACTTTTATTCGAACAAGGCATTAAGAAGACAAATTTCGCGAGATGATATCACTTCGTAGTTTCTTTACAACCGCTTTACAACTAACATGGTTAACAATGATAAAATAAAGTTCATGAAAATTACTCAGTTAAATAAAAACAAAAGTACATACTAACTGAGTAATTTTCATTAACTTTATTTTATCATTGTTAACCATGTTAGTTGTAAAGCGGTTGTAAAGAAACTACGAAATGACGATATCATCTCGCGAAATTTGTCTTCTTAATGCCTTGTTCAAATTTATCAAAGGGACTAATTGTTTTAATTTTCTCAAACTTTTATTCGACATTGAGTGACCAATGTAAACTGTGTGTTCAAATAGCTTGAATAACTTAGTTTACAAATTAAAATACGATGGAGTTTTACCACTCGAATTGTGCAGATTGCAAATTGCGAATTTGATCCGCTGCACTCTGAATTAATCCACAGTCACCTTTCTGAAACCATACGAGATAGTGTGTCCTGACTCTCTTGAACAAAACATACATTAAACAATCGATATGTCTCCCTCTTTAGGAGCTGGTAAAAATAGGTCAATACTTGTAGAAGTTTCCGAATGCGTCAGTTAATCTCTCCTGTTATTAGAAAATTTTAAACTGCAATATGATGCAAGTCTTAATGTCCTTTTCATAAAGTGTTATATCCTCTTATTTAAAATATCAACTGGACAATATACAAATATGTATTACACTTGAAATGTGTGGAGTTATTCATCAGTGTCTCGTATGCCGCTTATAGAGAACTTGTTACTTTCTTATGTATACTTTAATCATACCTTTCTGAAGTGTACAAATGAAGGCATCATGGATGTAGTATACCCTTTTGTACTGTATATATTAGTGTTTATAATCCTTAAGTGTTGGTTTGCAGGGATATGACTGGTTACAGGATTTCATCATCAGCTGACTTTGGTTAGTGAACCATTGGAAAATCACAAGTAGAGTACTGGACGAACGCTTCGTACTGCTTTGTGACTCTTTATCATTGTGCATCCACCGCCAGGATTCGAACACAGGACCTTCCCGTTACAAGGCGAGCTCGAAGAAGGCCATTTAGGAAACCGCTGGGATTTGATCCAATCGCCAGTCCATGAATTCCAAATTCTGCCAATTCACGATATAGTGTGACTCGCACTATCCATTGTCATCGATTCGACCTGCTGTACCCCACTCGTCACGACTTCCAACTAGAATCAACGACATTGGCTAATGCCAGTCGTGATATATCGCGAACTGGAAGAAGTTAGAGTTCATGGATTGGCCATTGGATTTGTTCGCAGTGTCTCAATGGTCTACGGATTAACTCTCCTTCTAACCGAAATGTTCTGGGCTCGAACCCCTTTGGTGTGTGTCTACTAATGAAGAGTCCCCAAACGGGACAAAACGAATGTCCAGTACTCCAGTTGCGGTTATCCAATGGTTTTCCAACGAATGTCATCTCATAATAAAGTATTTAATTATATTTAATGAAAGTAAATTTTTCACCCTAGATTGATATCAGTCGGAGAATCTTTAAAAGTATAGACATTCGTTTAAAAATAGTTTCTTTCTATTTTAAGACTCATAAAAAGATCTCGCCTACGTCATCTTCATATGAAGTGGAACTACAATTGACAGTCGTTTTGATGACGACACTATTCTTCATCCAGTTAGTGAGGCTCCGAAGGTTTAGATTTGCTAATTTCTACAACTTTCATTAGTTTTTACACTAGTCGTCTTGGTGATGACGGCCTGCTTGAATCACTGACCTACCTAACACAATTCATCATATTTTCTCTAATTCTTATTGTCTTAATCATTCAATTGTCTCTTTGAGTCTCAAAATGTACTCAGTTGGATTTCAAATTACTAGTGTGCATCTCACGGAGACGAAGGAAAAATATCATATGGGGTTAGTCTGCACTTCCGATCTAACAACAATTTGGTCACATGATATACTACAGACTGTTATTTTACTTGAAGGTCCTAGATGAAGAGAAAATATTATGCAATAAATTAGGCTGAGAGTACTGTACACCGTATCAATATTTTGTTCAGAATAGAACTATTGTTTATGTATTATTATTTACTAAAGTCTATCTTAACTGATTGGTAGGCAACTTCAGCATGAAACTGGCTGATTCTGGCCTGAATCCCACATGGCGTAGAAGTGCCGTATTCTTCTAAATAGTCTTAAGGTAGGACAATTCAGTGTCATGTGTCTCCTAGCCTGTGCTGATTCGTACGAACTATTTTGAAATTGATATGTCGTCTGCAAATATTCCAGTTGAGTTCATATTTTTGGCATATCGATTCATCATTCAAAGGTGTAGAAGCAATAAAGTGTTCCCTCGGTCGATCAACCAGCTCCACTTCTTACCTTGGGGCAGTGCGAATTAGAAATACCCAACACCAACAATTTCATATTCTGGCCTACTGTCTACTGAAAAGTATCTAATCGTAAAATCTTCATACCTCTTTAAACAGGTTGTGTGCAACCGACCTCGAACACTTATCTCCTAGGCACTGTGATAACACAACACTAATGCCCTTTGTTTGCTCTAGGTATTTTAGCTAAGTTGCCTTCCCAATAATCTGTCTAAATTTCTTAACGGTTTTCTTGTTGAATTTTATTCCTTTACTTTCTGAGTGGAAATGTTGTTTACTCATCGCCAATTTTCTGTTATGTACTGCTGAGTGATTAATAGTCCTGACGCGGAAAGAGGGAAATCAGAAGACCACCAGGGTTACGATGATACTTGTATTTTCCAGACAAGGAAAAATAAATGTCACACGAGTGTGAGTGATTGGTACGTAGTGTACGAAACGTGGGAACAAGTGTGAACAAGAATACAGTACAAAAGTATGTATGAAAATGACTAATATACATGATCCAATGGATAGACAGTCTTACCATGATTGGCTGTAATGTCATGTGATAACAAGGTCATACATGTTTATTTAGTTAATGGACATACAAAAGCATATTGTCAGTTATAGTGGAATACCGATCCATATGCACATAGCAAAATATAACAGACTGTCAAAACAAGGTGGGCATCATGTGACTACTTATCAGGCTTCACACTACAGCTTTGCAGCATCAGTGGGATCGGTTTTATTTTTACAGGGTGGGGTTACTAGCCTTACTCCCAACCTCCTCTCTTCACTGAACTTTTTCACTGTGTACTGCTCAGCAGTCCTCTCCGTCCTCCTTTATGGCTGTGAGACCTGGTCATTGAGAGTGGAAGACATTAGAAGCTTGACTGGCTACCTTTGATCATAGGTGCCTCCATTCTATCTCCCGTGTCAAGTGGTATAATAAGGTGTGGAATATTTAGGTTAGGCTTAGGTCGAGTTCTAGGTGGGGAGCGAGGGGAAATCAATCGACGAGGCTGTGAAGTTACATCGATTGAGATGTTTAGGACATGCGTTACGCATCCCTAGCTATCGATCGCCTTCCTCAGCGGGCAATGTTAGGAGACATAGGGTCAGGTTGGAAAATAGCTAGCTAGCGGCGGTGAAACCGAAACATGGCACCAGTCAATGAAACCCACAACAGTTAGTTTAAGCCAGCCAGTTACGTAGGAAGGTGTAGACTTCCTGGTTGGGGTCCTCGGGATGTTAAAAACCAATAAAGTCGGAGAAAAAATCGTTCTCAATGTCTGGCGAAGATGCATCCACTCCTTGTGACTTATGATTTCAAATGAAACTCTATTGTTCTTCGTCATTACTATTCCATTGTTTCACACCTCTATTTACTGTCTCTATTATGCATTTCTTCTAGTTTCTTCTCTTGCTTTGTGTGCTACAAGGAGGGAGTGTAGCGACTTGAACTGCTGCAAATCGGTGCAAAGTTCTATGTCGAAAACAGACAGACAGACACTGAACTTCTTATTGGTTAAGCGAGGATGTCGATTTACGTCAGTCGGGGATCGAACCCTGGAGCGCATGAGGAGTGGTTGGCGAGCATTCTATCTCTGAACCACAGGCGCATTTCTAAATGACACACTAGTTTAACCTTTTTCACGCATATTGATTTTCTTCTCACCAAACACACCTACAAGTTGTCTGTCTATATATTCCTTCCTTTCTTTTTATCTTTCAGATGGATTAATTCTATTCGTCGGGTTTGCGTTGATTTCATGTCGTGAACACGATGAATCTCTTTCAAAGATGATCGATCAACTTGATTCTCATTGACTGTTAAAGTATAATTCTTGTATAATTCACTCATTTATGTGATCATCACTTGAATGCTTTTGTGTAACTTTCTTTTCTATCTATTAATTAGCATTCTACTTCCACGAGTACTACTACTATTGTCTATTGATTTTTGTTACTCTTTATATTACTCAAAAGTAGTATATACACGCAGGTGTGTTCTTTTTGTCTTACGAGGGGAATGCAAATATAAAATAAAAGACTGTGAACTTATTGTGTATAACATAACATGGCGTTTATCTATCTGTCTATCTTTCAATCTACTACTGTCTACGCTTATACAGGATGCAATCCACTCCTGCCTCATTTTAATGAATCTCATATTTTTCAAACACAAATGCTCCCGCCTTTTACCTTTATAATTTTAATTATGCTTTATTTTATAGACTATAATAGTATTCATTTTAATAATAATAATATTATTAATAAAGTCATTATTTTACCCCTTTTTTCCACATGAAAAGAGGTCATCCTCGTAAGTATCAATTTTTTCTTCTATTTAATAAGCTGTAGGAGACCAACCAAAACTCTCTCAGAGATCAAATTTTTCGGCTTAAGGACCCAATAGATCCAAACAGAAAAAATAATATATTCAAGTGTTGGCTAGGGGTCACGCTATGTCGTGATTTGTTAGAAGTTAGAATTCAAGGACCACTGGATCGAGTCCCAGTGGCTTAATGGTCTACAAGCCAGCTCGCCTTGTAACCAGAAGGTCCTGTGTTTGAGACTCGTAAAGAGCCTCAAACTAGGACGAAACAGCTGTCCAGTACTTCCAGATTTTCCAATGGTTCTCTAAACTAATGTCAGCTCATGATGAAATCCTGTAAAAAAATAATATAAGTTACCAAATACCATGTAATGACTGTCAGTGAGGTCAATTACATAGGTCAGTCAAGGTAGTAGGTCAGGCTTAACTAGATTATTGGAGCATACAAATTTAGCCAGACCTATAATAGTTGACCCTGTTAACTTAAATAACCTAGAAAAAAGCTCAGCCATTGCAGAACATTCACTTGCATGTAATCTGATATGTATCCATATATATATATATATATATATATATGTGTGTATGGTGGTCTCTCTTTCTGTTTGCTCGCTTAGTCTGTGACCATTTCACTTTGATGAACCTGTCTCCTTTAACAATGTATATTCCCCTCATATTATATGTAATATGAGTGTTTGTTGACAGTCCGTTGCTTGGTGACATATATCCATATTATATGTGTGGTTGTTGACATGTCTGCTATATTCGCTATGTATATATGGATCGACACTTCATTATAATTAGCCATTCATGTTAAGACTGTCTATTGATTTGTTCACACACTTGTCTGGACATTCATATATATTTCGCTCACACAATCTTGTGTGACTACTTTGGTGTGATACCACTTTTGCATTCTCCTTGTGTTTGGAAAATAGAAGTATCATCGCAAACCTAGTGGTCTTCTGATTTCCGCCTTCTTGCATCAGGACTATTACATTCTCGACCAGTACATAGCAATAATTTGGCGACGAGCAGTACATAACATAATCACACATCAGTAGGGTGGTACAGGGTGAGAGTATTAGAAAGTAATATAGTTAGGTGGAGAGATAGAGAGGTTAAACACTGAAGCTTTGTTTATCGATTCAATACCGCACACATGCAGTCAAAATAGAGAAACGCCTACACCGGCGATATGGAAAGTGGTAACAAAAAACAAAAGGACGATGGAGAGAAAGAGGGAAAATATATGTAGGATGAACTGTGAAGACCTGTGACTAAAACTGATATGATTATGAGTTGCAATAATTTATGCTCGAAACGTCATCCAGTTATTAATATTGCATCATAAGTGTGTGATATTTAAAATAAGGAGATTTGTTAACTAATTTTGGATGAAACGTCGATCTGGTCCTTTCTTTTCACAGAGAGAGGGAGATCACACCAAGGAAGTAGAGGATTTCCTGAAAGATATAAATATGTGTTCCAATATATAACCCACACAAACTCATTAAATCAGAAGGAAGCAAAAAACAAGATCAGTGGTAAATAAAATCAAAAGTGTACCCATTTCCGCCTGATTACACGCTAGATGCAGATTACACGGACTATTCCCGGGAATTTCAAAGTATTATCTATGTGGAGAAATTTGTCTCAATGTAAAATAATGAACAGAATCCTATGGTCATTCTACCAAATCAAAAACATATTTAAAAGGATTTAATTGGTGGATGGTGACTAGCAGCGGAATCCAGGATGCACATTTCGTCCTATTTGGGGCTCGTCATCTGGAATTCGAAGCATCTGCACAAGAAGCCGACATATCAACCTGAGACCTAACACTTCGGTCCAATAAGTCGACGGTAAAATCTGAAATTCAACTTAATATTTAAAAGGAGATCCCTGTGGAACTCTCCAGCCAAATGTTCTATTAGAATTACATCACGGAACAAATAACCAATAAGCAAATGAACTACATTGAATTAATCATGAAGAACGACAAGTGCGAATGTTTGTGAGGTCATGTTCAAAGAGATAAGCGGAAAAGATTGTGAGAGATTAAAATTAAGAGGAAAATGCATTGCGATTCAATTACATCACTTAAATAGACAACTAGTCAGCTATCCGTGAGTGAAAGAACTTGAACAAATCGACGATTGAGAGCTGATTAATAGTGATAATAATGGCAATAATAATAATGATAAAACGAGTCGAGACAATGTTACTGATAAAAGACAGTTTTGAATGAATGAGAAATACTAATAATAAGAGGTAGGATAAAATATTAATAAAAGTCATAATAACAATGGCTAACAAGTAAGACATATTACAATAGTAGATTCAGAGTGACCACCAATTTCCTTCTGTACACATACACCACCTGCTTTACAAACTCTAATTTCAATAGCCTCCACAGACACAAGAATGTTCCTCTTTGTTAGCCCGCTGACAACAGTGCATGATCTGACAACGTCAATATAGTATCCATAGTCCACAAGATGCTTTTTTATTGAACCTTGTTTCTGGCACTGACTTCATCTGTTTTCAATCACTGAGGGAAACGCTCCAACAAGCGAGTGGACAATTAACTTTTCTGTACAACTTATGTATTTGTGTCATTCCACAAACACACTCAAATTGATACACATGGCAGTTTGAAGTGTCGAGGATTGGCTACTGATCTTTCCCAGAATGCTGAAGCACTCGCTTAGTCGTGTTAAGGAAAACAAGTTTTGCAGCAGCATAACAAGTTTTTGTTATGTACTGGTCGAGAATTTAATAGTCCTGACGCAAGAAAGACGGAAATCAGAAGACCACTAGGTTTGCGATGATACTTCTATTTTCCAAACACAAGGAGAATCAATGTCACACAAGAGTGTGAGAGCAAAAATATATATGAATGTCCGAACAAGTGTGTGAGCGAATATTCAAAATGAACAAATCAATAGACAGTCTTAACATGATTGGCTAATTATAATGGAATATCGATCCATATATACATAGCAAGATATATCAGACTGTCAAACAAACACACATATTATATGGATACATATCACCTCCCCTTTTGAGAAGATTGATGATTAGTAGGATGTTTTCCTGGGGGTTTATCTGGAACCTTTGAGCTTGTTGTTGACGTCTGTCGTTTCGTCTGCCTGTTGGGTTTGCGGCTTCGGCTTCGTCCGGAATTGTCTGACATTTTATGCTTCTTGACTGCATTGCATAGCGAATTTAGTGGGACATCAGCCAGATGCAAACGATCGAACCAATCAAGTCCCAAAAGATTTAAATCACTCTTGGTGACGTAGCAAATTCCTGTGAATTTGATGTTACGGAATGAAACAGAACATTTGAGTTCACCAATTAGTTTGAGCCGCCCACCACAGGCGCTGACAAGAGTCTGGGAAGTATTTGTGATAGGTGGTCTGCCAATATCATTCCAAAGTTTCTCTGATATAACAGTAATATCAGAGGCGGTATCTAGCTGCAGACGTGTATCATGACCATTCATCTGAAGATCAAGATATTTCCGCATACCTGGTGTTGTGACTTGACAGGTTGCGAGTAGACTCAATGATCTCCTTGGAGATTTAGGACCAACAGTTTGTCGAGCTTTCGCTGGATTATGATATCTGGGTTTGCGTGGCTGACAAAAACCATTTTTATGACCAATGATTTTGCACTTGCTGCAACGATGATTTTTGTATGGACAAGACTTTACAAAGTGCCACGCGCCACAATGCCAGCATGGTGATGGTGGGGTCTTCTTTGCAGTAATTTGAGAAGTTGGACGAGTATGTGTAGATTTCCGCGGAACATTAGGAGAAGGTGGGTCAGGACTGGATGATGAGAGATTTTTGCTCTTTCGTAATGCATGAATATCAGAGCTTCTCGAAGGTGTTGATTCGACCAGGTGTGTGTCTTTCTGCAAATTAATCAGCCGTTGATATTCATCAGCTATGTCATGTAATGTTAACTTAGGATTTTGTTCTAGCTGATTGAGCAGTCGAGTTCGGATATCTGTGAAACGAGGAGATTGAAGACTGCATATGAGAATCAAGGCTTTGAATTGATCATCTGTTAAGGACCTGAGTCGAAATCTCTCACATTCTCGGTTGACTGTGCCAACGTGAGTAAGAAAATCATCATTTTCATTCATTGTCAGCTTGAGGCAACGATAACGTATGCTGAATAATGAGGAGTGGTCTCCAAAATGTTCACGCAGCAGCTTTATTGTATCATCGAAACACTTGTCACGTGGTTTCTGGGGTAAAATTAGGTTGCAGTACCGTTCATATTCTGCGGGACCCAATTTTTTTTATAACACTCACACCTTCCAAGCATCGTCTTGTGAGGCGAGATCAACAGTGAATAAATCCTCATATCGTTGATACCATGTGTCAAAAGTGACATTAGCATCTGGATTATAATTGAACTGTGAAATAC